AGAAATAGTAACCAGCTTAGAGAAGCTGAACAAACTGTGCAGAGCAGCATCGCCTTGGTAACAGGGGCCGGACACACATGGCAACAGTGACAGACACGTGTCAGTGAAGGAGGCGACAAGACAGAAATTTCCAGCTCGCACACGGCCAATTCCAATCTCTGTGTCCTTCTCTAGTGCCAGAGAGACGTTCCAAAAATGTACGGAATGCCATCATGTCACAGGGGCCGTATCAACGTCCCTCGCCACGGCAACTGACTCCACCCTCTCCCGATACCACAGAAACAGGGCTCATTCAAAACACAGATCTTTCACACACTCGCATCTTTCCTTTCCTTGTGCCAAACCTGCCGACCAAAAAGGACACAAAAACTCATCTCACATTTACCAAAAACATCTCGATGACCCCCTACACCTTTGAGATAATATTCTGCCGACGGATGAGTTGAAAGTAGAACCCACTGGGAGCCATGGGTGCCATTACACCTGGCATACAGCTAACACAGCATTGCACAATAAAAACAACAGTCAACACGGGTGGTGGTAGTGTGACGGTCTGGGGCTGCTTTACTGCTTCGGGACCTGGGCGACTTGTCATAATTGATGGAACCATGAATTCTGCTCTCAAACAAAGAGTCCTGATGGAAAAGTTCTGGCCATCAGGTCATGACCTAAAGCTCGAGCACAGCTGAGTTATGCAGCAAGCAACGGGTCTCATTTCATTGCCGATCAGAACTTTCACCGGACCCTCGCAAATGCAGGGAGTTAGTGCCCACTTGTCATGCTTTAATGGAGGGATAATTCTGCAGAAAAAAAAGTTCCATTGACTTTGGCCCCTGTAGAGCAAGCATCCCGCCCCACCACACTGGCACAGGGCGTCACTAAACCAACAGCAGTTTGTCACTGCAATGAGTCTATGAGTCTATACCCCCTTTGTATGCAGCGGAGGGTCTGACTGCAGCTTAATTTTGTCTCGGTTTGACCTTGCGTGAAGTATCCACCCAGTGTCAGGGCCGGCAGCGCACATCTTCACCGTATCACTTTACTACGTCATTTATACAGGCCAGGAGTCTTTAAATCCCAGACCGCAGCACAGTCCAGCACTACTGGGCTCAGTTTTGCAAATTAGCGACCAGTATAGACCATAATAAACAATATTAGACATTACAACCGCAGCAATAAAAATTTAATCATGCACTAGTTTAAACCTTAAAAATATTAGTGATTATAACCGGCCAGGAGTCAAATAAAACGTCCCCCCAGCAAAGTTGTGCTGAGCGCGGTTTCCCCTAACAAGCCTGGTGCGCGATAACCACCCGCGAACTGTTGGTGCTGTTTCGCTGTGCGTTCCCCATTTTAACACCATGGGACGCTCGATTGGCTGGATTGCCCTGTGTGTGTTGTGTGATGTAAGGTAAAGTTTTCTGGCTTGCAATTCTGGCCGTAAACATTACCCTGTTGCTGATAAGCGAGCTAAGAACACCAGCCAGCCATTGACGGAGCATTCGGTTAATTCACAAACATGAAACACATTTGCTGCCCACAGTCCTCAGGCCAAGATGTTTCACTGAAACTCAGAGATTGGTGGTTTAAGTCTCACTGTAATTACGCAAAAATCAACACCAGTGCAGTTATTGTCCAATATCAGTGCACATCGCAACATTAAAAACATTCCAAATTGAGGAAAATGAAGGTGTTGCATTCCTTCACATTTTATGTTGATATGTGCACAAAATTACTGTCTAACAGCTTGACAGTGTTCTGATGCAACGGCGCAAGAGACAGAACTAAAATCTCCCCCACCCAATGTCACCAGTACTCACAGCTAAAGAAGTGCCCTTTAACTTCTGTGTTTTGGAAAAGGATGGAGTCCGGAGCCTGATCGCCAGCGATTACCACAGCTAATAAAGAGGCAGTGTTATTTTTCCTCACTTAATAAAGACCCGCTCGTCGTTTGACATTTCCGCTCACGCATCACCGCCGCGGTGCTCGGCTGCCTGGAGATCACAACCCATACGCTCCCCTCCCACGCACTCGAGATTTGGCACTGGGACCTACGCGCACCCGAGAGGCCACGACGGCAACTTGCTTCAATTAACCCTGACGGTTTGAAAACGGGAAATAAACCAGCTATCTCTGCCTGTTTCCTCTCCATATGAGGATGGGTCAGACTGAATTGGAAAGCTGGATATTTTTACCTTCCTTCAAAGAAAGAAGGAAAACTTCACTGCTGTGAACAAAAAAAAAAAAAAAACTTTCAGTGCCTTTCACATCGTCGCTAACTGCTGGACATGCAGCCTTTACCCTCCCGTAAACATACCCATGTTCCCAAGGTCCTATATGGCTCTGTGACGCTGAGCATCAACTCACGAGGGTGCTCGAGATCCGAATCTGCTGTTTCTCCACCCTCCCTTTACCTGGGAGTCAGGAGTAAAGATTGTCTGGCCAATCAAAGGCACTAATTGTTCATCTAAATTGTTGACCATCTTGGAGAAAACTAAGCCAGGGATGGACTTGAATTCGAGGCGCAGACTTGGTGATCCTTGCTTCACGATTTTGTGCTTCATCGATACATTAGTCCTTCTTGATTCCTACGGAGTACAGTATTTGCGTACGCACACGTGTTGTATGTCGTCGTGTTGTCGTGATCACTGTCAGCATTGGCTCCGGTCTGTCTGCGAATGAAGTTTTCCTTTCAAGGGATAAATGAAGTCGTCTAATCTGACTTGTTAGACTACATGTAACATATGTATGGCTGAGAGATAAAAAAATTTAAACAATCAGTAAAACATTCAGTTCCGTAGAAATAAAATCAACAGTAAAACATTTATGTTCTATCAATCGGCATACCGAACATTTTCGTTACTGCCCACTGAAATGTGATCTGTCACGGCAGATCTTTAATAAGTTCTAATAAGGGAATCCATAGTAATTGAACAACATTGAGTAGAAACACCGTTATGATTACAATGAGAATGTTTTACTTTAGTTAACCAACAGCAGAACACCAGTATGGGTGCTTGTAAATGTTCTGTAGATGAGAACCACAATCCTCTTCTCATCTTGAGAGAACATAGAAGTAACATGGAGCTGCACATGTCTCCCACAGCTGTCTGTGAGCCCCGGTCTCTCCCCCAGCTCTGTCTGTGAGCCCTCCTCTCTCCCACTGCTTTGTCTGTGAGCCCCGCTCTCTCCCACAGCTCTGTCTGTGAGCCCACCTCTCTCCCACAGCTCAGTCTGTGAGCCCCGCTCTCTCCCCCAGCCTCGCTTCACCTCTCCACCTCTCTCTCTTTCTCTCTCTCCCTCTCTCTTCCTGGTAGCACTTCCTCTTTGCCCTCTTTACCCCACTCTTTACTCTCTCGTTGTTTGTTTACAGCATCCAGTGAAGATGTTCAAGGCTGCGGCTAAAGAAAAAGAGGAAGCCTGTATTTTCTCCACCAGCTGACCACAGCAAGACATTCAGGCTCAAGTGAATCCAGGTCTGCTTTTTCCCCTTATTTAACCAGGAAGGTTCCATTGAGAACATGTTTCTCTTTTGCCCAGGATGCCATGGGAGAAATGCCAGGAGATAGATCAGTTTCAAGGGAGGGGGGTCAGAGAGAAACTGGGTAAATACCCTGGAGTGATTTTTGGGGCAAGGGGCCTTGGTCAAGGGCCCAACGGCAGTCATTTCCAACCCCATCCTCCAGAAACAAGTCAGGATGCAATACCCCACTTTAGGGTCAAACCAGCAACTCTACAGTCACCAGTCAAAGAGCCCACCATGATGCTCCGCTGCCGCCCCGAGGGCTGGCATTCCAAGTGCCCGTCAAGAAACTGCAATCCAGCAATCTGTATTTCCCATTTCTGATAAAAATTCACCAAACCTGCACACATTGCCTTTTCTTACTCAAGCAGTTTACTGCAAAATCAGCTCATGGGCATTTGTACTGACTCTTGCCAATTTGCCAGAGGATTTTGACATGTTGCCCAAGATTCTTGATGAGGTAAATTTGCAACTGACTTTTTTCCCATAAGTTTTAATATCCGAATGACAAAAATAAAGAATTTTCAGTGGTGTAGAACCACAAGTTGAAGAATAATACACATGTTGGTTAAGTGACACGTGGTGTGGACAGGAAGTTGTACAGTTCTGAAATGTCAGAAATAGAACAGTCGGAGCGTGCGCTAAATGATAGAAGGTCAATGTAAAGTAAGTGCTCCACACAGCCAGTGACCTCATGCAGGTACCTCACACAGTCACAGGCAGCCTGAGTGCAGCACAGTGTCTTTTCCACAGAATATGTTCTGCTGTGTATCAATACCGTGGCTTGCATTTGTGCATATGCATATGTGTGTGTGTGTGTGTGCGTGTGCGCGCGCGCGCGTGTGCCACATTCACAGGGCACCTGCAGTCACACGCAGAGGTCAGAGCAGGAACACGTGCGTCTGCAGCTGCGTGTGTGTGTGTGTGTGTGTGTGTGTGTGTGTGTGTGTGTGTGTGTTCTCCAAGAGACTGACACCAGTACAGGTCCACAGCTGTGGTCTCCTCCGCAAGAGTGAACACCGGATAAAATGGGCTTATCAAGAGAGCACCACAGCAGCTGAGCTCATACAAGCACACACACTCACACACATATGCACACGAACCCACAAACACACACGCATACACACACACACGAACACGCACACACACGATGGAGGTGACGGCTGAAGCACGTAGCGGAGTCTCTATCCCTCTCTCGCTGCTGTTACTCGCTCGTGACGCCATGTTCATGCAGCGCCTCTTTATAAACCTGCTCTCCAGCAAGTACACAACCCACAGCAGCAGGCGCCAGCTGAGGATTCTGCCTCTGAACCTGACCATCACACCCTCATACAGACACACACACACACACACACGTTCACACACCTAAGGGCCCGTCAGAGCCTCCAATCAGCCTGACACGCATGCAGGAAGGAAACTGGAGTACCTGGAGAAAACCCTCCTCACACAGGGAGAACACGCAACCTCCACACAGAAATGTCACAGGCCGGATTAGAACTCAAGACCTTCTTCCTGTGAGGCAGTAGTGCTAACAACTGCGCCACTGTGCCACCCCAACCGACTAGATGTTATTGTAAGGTATTAATGTGCATATTTATAATATTAATGTTACAACATGTTAATAATAAAAATGAACAACGCAATAATAACATGCACATGCGGCGCAATGTTCATTTTGGCTGTCTCTATATATGAACTGGTTTGCGATTGGGTGACATGCTTAAGTGTTGACACATTATCTGCAGAGTGCGGAGCTCCAGTTGCACCAACACTTACACAGAAATAAGGCAGCGTCTCAGCTTCTTGTAATGCTAGCTACCATGATATTGTTATAATTAGTTCCCGTTTGATTTATTTGCCATTAATGCCCCATGAAAGAGCGTGGACAAGGCTTTCTGCCCTAGTGATATGGTCTCAGATGTCGATGTCATTTTTATTCTCTGTAATACACACACACACACACACACGCGCGCGCTCAGATGGTAGTGACTCTTCAACATAGTGTTCACCGAGCTGCTCAATCACGACATGGCTCAGCTGTCAAAACATGATATAGCATAGCATAGATTAGCATAGCGCAACATAATGTAATGTAGCGTAGTATAACATAGCACAACATAACATAACATCACACATTGCCATGAACAGGCCTTTCAGCCTGATAAAGCATGCCATTTTCTGACCCCAAATGTGTGCCTGATTCTTAACTTCCGAGGAACTAGATGCGTATCTACCACCATAAAAAGCCTGCCCCAGAAATCCCCCATACCTCCTCCAGCCGGTGTCTGATGTTTGCCGTGTGTGTGTGGTTAGTGTAACTCCCAAGCACTATCATAACCGTTCCTTTTTAGCGCAGTACAATGAACATCTGCAGTGAGACCCTGAAGAACAGCATCTAATAAAACCACAGGATCACCCCTTCAGTCCGGGAGAACAGTATCAATAATTAGCCATAAAAATCAGCAAGTTTATCTTTACCTGCGGAAATACCGTTAAAGGTCTAAAAACAAAGAGACACTGTCATGAAATCATGCAGTGGAAATGCACAGAACCAAACACAAAAGAGCTGTTGTATCTTTTACATGCCATCATAGCAATGTAAAAAAAAAAAACTGAGTATGGATTTCTGAAAGTTTATGGCCAATGAGCGAGAGTGATGTCACATGGTCACATGACAGAACTTTGGGATTTATTTATTTATTTATATTTTTATTTATTTTCATTAATTGAAGGGTGCCATCACGATGCAAACGTATATGATTTGGTGTTGGGTAATTGCATAGGTATATGTGTGTGTGCGTGTGTATGTGTGCGTTAATGAATACAGTAAACAGAGTTCACTTAAACCATTTCAAAATCTTTGTTTGTATGTTGAGTTCTTATAAGATAAATACACATTTTGGCATATTTCAGTGCTTGACTGAACATTCAGAAAAAATTTAGAAACAGCAATTTTAACGTTTTTTGCAGTAGCGTCTGCACAAGGCAATTGCGTTTGCTCACACAATTTTTTCTGAGGTAATCGGTTGCGGCAAACGCCTGCATCCCCACAACTATTTGTCGTATCCGCATTACCGAACAGCAGCCGGCACCCTGAGTGAGATTATAGAGGGGCTTCACAGATACAGTCGAGGCAAAGGAGGGGGAGACCGTAATGTTGCAATAAATGGACCCCAGTGGTTATCCGAGCAGCCCAGACGGGCCGATAGCCCCGCCTATATATAAAGAATGATCACCATCCGTTCCGAAGCCTCCACGGACCAATCAGAGGCAGCCAAGCCGGAAGATTCCGAATTCATCACCCTCCCATCCCCCCCATCTACTCTTATAGCGCAGCTTATATCCAGGCAGCGCGAGTGCCGATCATTCACCTCAACGGCGTCACAGAAACTCGGCCCACAGATACACACACACACACACACACACACACACACACAAATGCACAGAAGAACATGCACACACACTCAGGCATATATTACACACACTCACATTTGCATGCACACACACCTATAAAATCCCAGCATATCCCAGTGATTTCATTCAATTGCTGCACCAATTTCACAAATTTTCTGAACAAAAAAAAAAGACTGCGGACACGCAAGAAACTATCACTCTCATGCTTGCCTCTCTCTCTCTCTCTCTCCCTCTTTTCCCCCCTCTCTCTCTCCCGCTCACTCACTTTATATGCTCATATTTCCAAAATTAGAACCGCACTAAATCCTTGGAACAAATCCCCACAAAAAAGAAATAAATAAAATGGGATTTAGACAAAATACAAGTTTCCGGTGCAGTGTAAAAAACTAATTGAGAAAACCAAAAAAATACACAGTAAATGCACATTGAAAACACAAACAGAAAAACACTCTCAGAAACAGGGATACAATAGGAGTACACAACAGTACAATCAACTAATGTACCCCAAGGGCCAATTGTTAGACCTTAAGGAAACTATGTGTGCCCATTCTTTCAGAAACTAAAAAGGTGAAAACACATTGTCAAGGGTACAACAGGCATGCCTTAGAGTGCACTGCCACAGTGACAAGCCAGTTCACCCCTGAACGTAAAATGATCTTTATTTTCTGAGAGTGAAGTGATAGGAATACAGTGCATCACAAACAAAATATGAGAATTAGTCAGCCTAACATGATTTTTTTGAGTACTTTGAGCTGCAATGTAATCATTATGGTGAGAGGCTTTATTTTAATGTGCAGTACATTATACAAATGAGCTAGGTTTCTGCTAGCCGTTAGTGATGAACACCCTCCAGGTTATCGTCAGTTCCACGAAAGTATAAGGCTGTTAGCTCCACTCAGCAAAGCACTGCACACAGTCCAGCACTGAGCCTATTTCAGCAGGCTGGTGTCCTGTGGATAATTCCTTTAGAATTACTGAACACAGAAACATCTGTCCCTGAAAATGGCTCAAGTCAGGACATGCCATAGATGTTTAAATGTACATAGTATAAATCTCTAATGGAGTCCTTTACGTACACCTCAGGTTCTGATCTCTACGAGTCATTTCTTTCACACAGAATCTACTGCACACACTCATGCACACAATGCACACACACACAAATACCCCTGAGATGGAGGGCACAATTGAAACAAGTTTGACAGCATAAATATCACAACACAAAAAACACATTAAAGAGTAATTCTGATCTCAGGATTCCATGAATTCCACAAACACAGCCATACGCAGCTCTGGTCCAGCCTCACTACAATTCGAGTCTAGTGCACCGCTACAGCAGCGGGCATCGCTGATTCCTCACCCATGCTGAGAGCATCTCTGCTAGAAAAAAGTGCCAATCTGTGCCGCAGTGTATGCCCACCAGGGGGTGCTGGCAGTCAGGACCAAAACAAACTGCATTGTGCCAAAAATCAGCGAGCTAATGTGAGAAACACGGTAGAGTTCCCGGATGAAGAAAGTTGCGACATGAGGGTTCCAACAAATCCGGTCACGGAGCCATTTTGTTTCCATCATGTAATTGGGCACCGTCCCAAAGTGAATGAGTTTTTTCCCCCATTTTCTCTTCTCCCATGTCTCATCATTTTCCCCTCTTATGCTTGTCAAAACCATTGCTGGGTGGCTTGTTGTTTTTCCTTGATCCAGTAAATGCCCGAAATCAATACGTTACCCTTCCGAAAAAAAAAAGACGAAAAAAATCCAACGATTTAAATTATGCTAAAGAGCTCCATTTCATCAAATGTAAACAAAATAGCTTCTATTCTTCAGTTGTCGCAGCTCTCTATCCAGGATCTCTAAAACACGGCTGTTACCCCAGCTACAGTCTTTAAAAATGTATTTGACCTGTTTCAGTGAAGACATGAGCGACAGTTAGCTGAGAAACTATAATCCTATTCTGAGAGAGAGTTTTCAGATTCCGGCTTTACGCACAGGCTGTATTGACCGTATGCTGGAATGACAATGAAGAATCTCTGTTTTTTTTATTTTATTTTAATTTTTGCATGTTGAGAGACCTGACATACAAGAGAAAGACAGAATAGTGCTTCTCCTGTGTGAGAACTGTACAGACAGAGACTCACATATACTGCTTTCATTACATCCTTAGCTGCAAACAGGAGCCTCGTGGTTAAGATGCTTAACTAACCCCCCCCACCCCCAGAAGGCTGCTGGTTCAAATCCACCGAACAACTGCATTGCTCTAAATGCCACAATGAGATCAGTGCAGCTCTGGGGTCCTTGGGGGTCCTTGGGGGCCCTTAACCCCACATTGGTCCAAAGAGGATTGCCCCCGGTGTAGTCAAATTAACATTTGCTTTAGATATAAACAACAATAAAAAACGTCATCACCAATAACCGACAATTAATTGCTCACAATTACAAAACCAGTATATATAGACAATATCTCCTCTTGAGTCACTGATTGCATTTGTATGTGGCCTTTAAATTTATCCCAGTCAAAATAAACTGACTTTAAGTGAGGTCCTTACCATGAAAGTGATCCGTGGCAGCTTTAAATTTCGACGTGTTCATACTGACGCTTAGAGAGACGCTGCAGGTACCAAGTTAAAAAAAAAGACTAGAGAGACAAAAATAAGCCAGGTGAGGCAGGAGTAACATGAGCAATCGGTCACTTTCCTTGATCCAGTAAATGCAGAGTAACAAAAAACTCATCGCAACCTCTGGTTATCTGGGAGTGAATATCACTGAATTAGGTCCCTGTTTCATTTGTGATCCACCAGCAATTGAAAGCCAAGGCCAAAAGGTTTCAGTTGCGTTCAGAAAGTGGTTCCACTGGATTTCTCTGGGTCTCAGAGAGGTCATACCATCTTATCTACTAACAATTAGTGTTTGGTCAGTGGCAGCACAGTGGGTGAAAGGTCTCATATTATGCTGAACCATCAAGCGATCAAGTGTTTTTAACAACTAAAATGACCTGTTTTAAGCAAAAATATTTTGTTTATAATGACTATTTTTGTGTTTATCATATCCACACAGCTTCATTTATGTATGACAGATATACTGAAAGAGGAGGGAGAGAGACTGAGGAGAGAGAGAGAGAGAGAGAGAGAGAGAGAAGAAAACA